ACGTGCCACCATGCCCAGCTAATTTTTTATATTTTTAGTAGAGACGGGGTTTCACCATGTTGACCAGGATGGTCTTGATCTCTTGACCTCGTGATCCACCCGCCTCTGCCTCCCAAAGTGCTGGGATTACAGGCGTGAGCCACCGCTCCTGGCCCCACATTTTTTGTCTTTAATAGAGTTGGGGTTTCAGCACATTGGCCAGACGGGGCTCATTTTCCTGACCTTAAGTGATCTGCCCACCTTGGCCGCCCAAAAAAAAGCCTCCTTGGGTTTACAGACATGCGCCACTGTGCCCAGCCTACTATGAGTAATTTTAAATCTCCTCATGCTTCTACTCAGTTGTGTGTCTATCTATGCCGAACACAATCCCATTATCCTGAAGTGTCTTTGATTATTTAGTGTTTCTCGTTTTTACATTTTTGTAAATGGAATCAGGCTATATTTTGCTTCTGTGCTTTGCTTATGGTTTTCCAAGTTGCATTTTTGAGGTTTGTCAGTGTTGTTGTGGGTAGTTCTGGTTTATTTTTACTACTGCGTGATATTTCATTGTATGAATTGCCACTGAGTATTCATTCTGCCATTGATAGATATTTGGATTGCTTTTGTTTTTTGCCATTATAAGCAACAAATGTACATTTTTGTTTATTTTGGAAATAAGACTGTATTCTCAAAATTTTGGAAATATCATATTTGCTCTTCACTAAAACTGTCTGCATGCTGGAAGGAATGAGGGGAATTGGCCGTTTGCCAAAGAATGTCACATGTCTGTTAGTATTATCCATTATATATTTTTCTAATGAGTATAAACCAAAACCACCCTATTATTCCTTTCCACAAATTGCTTTGCTATCCACAGGGAGGGAGACCCTTTTAGTTAGAAGCCCGCAAATTTAAGTGATACTAATTCCATAAATATAATTATGAAAAGAGGATTACTAGTAAATTAGGTCAAATATGAATTTGAAAAGAGATTCAAATATACATTTTGAAAACAGAGAGTCACAATAAACAAGGTAAAGCATAAAACAAGGGAGCCACTGTAAATCTGGTAAAGGGGAGTCCCAGAGGGAACCAGGTAAGGTTAAAGGGAATGGGAGTATTTATTCAGAAGAACAAAGGGCAGCATGATAATGAGAGAATAGCATGAAGGATATTTTTGTTGGTGGAGCTTTTAAACTTTTAGAATACATGATATCAGGGTCTGTTGATTATGGGGGACTAATTTCTTTCCTCTGTGGGTATATAAACCCAGAATATATAAAGATTTGTGAATCCTATAATTGATTTTACTTTGGTGAATTTCTAGTTCTTAACATGTCCAGAGGTTATTGCCTTGCCTTGTCAAGACTTTCTTTGTTGCCTCAATGAAAATATAATATTCTCTTTTCCTCATTTAAGATATTTTAATGCTAACATTTTTTTTTATCATTACACACTTATGGCTTTTCAGACTTACTGTATGTTGGTTGATCTCAACCAATAATTTTTGATGCTCAAATTGTCATGACATTGGCCAGTGGAAGGTCCTTTGAGATTTGCTTCTGTGTCTTTCAACAAAACCATATTAATCTTACATAACATTTTGCTTCCTACCAGACCACATGTTCAGACTCACTTTGTACTTTTTGGTATCAGATAGGAAGCTAGCAATTTCCCAATGAGTCCTTGTTTTTTCTTTTCTTTTTTTTTTGCTATTTTGTTTTGTTGTGTTTAGCAGAAAAAGTGTTAGAGACCATAATCTGAGTGCAAAGATGCTTTGTGGGGATGCTATTGACCCTGGCCGTTTCATTGGACAAGCTAGAACAAATAAATGTTTTCAGTGTTTTTCTTACAAAGGCATGAATTCCGATTAATATTTGAAGTCTATTTCTAACTGGATTGTATTTCTACCTAAATTTTTCGTTTTTTAATATCTTTCTATCATATAGACATTTTCTAGTAGTTTTTGTTTTGCTAAGGATTTTGGGGACGTTACTTTGGCTGGAGTCACTCATCTCTCACTTTCTGTGGCATTTATCTGATGGATAGTTTTGTTCTTTTGTTTCAATTCCTTTTCTATTTGAAGGCATTGACAATCTGATGTCTTACAAGCCTAAGTGCTTTGAAGGTAGCGGCTTTCAGCCACAGTGGTTTTATATCACTACTACTGTCTGAGTCATCTACAATGAACTCATAACATTTTAATACAAGATTCTTAAACTTGATTCTGTCTCTGTTATTTCTAGTAATATTAGAACATGGTTGCAAAAATTAGGTTATTTTAATAATGTTAAATCTGTCCTGATTTCTCAAGCTTTTAAACTTATCTTGCTACCTTTCTGAGGTACAAACTTATTTCCTTGTGTTATACAGTTTTTCCTTCTCTATGTATCATGCTGTGCACTGTTATGTCAAGGTATATGGCATATAAATCCAAATGGCCCTCTTGATATTATGTAGACCAAATACCAAAAGTAAAAAAAAAAAAAAATTCCAATTTGACTGTGAGTTGTCTATGAAGAAAGCAATTAAGAACGTATTTTATTTTTATAAGCCTTGTCTTACCACAGATACCATGCTATAATCTGGCTAGGATTTTTTCAGGGTTTCTCTTAGATGGCCAGGACATGATGGGCCTAAGAGCCATTAAGGAAAAATTATAATTTGGGGTTATCTCTGGTATATTAGTTGTATCTCAGGGACCAAAATGATTTTACATCTGTCATTGTGGATTTGTCTATTTCTTCCTGAAGTTCTATCAGTTTTTGCTTCATTTATAGCAATTTCTACTTAATGTCATAGATAGGTTCTTGGAAACTGCAACTTTAAGTGAAACGATGTACAGCAGTCCTCAACATCCTTTTGTTCAACTTCATTTCATTATAACAATGATGAGAAAAAAATTGATTTTATTTTATGTTGCTTTGCTTAAAGTCACAGTCTTTAAGAACTTATTGACAACATTAACATAAAATACTTATTAACTGTATTTTGAAGCTCTGTTATTAGGTGCATAAACATTTAGAATTATTATTGTTTCTTCATGAATTGACTCCTTAGTAGTTATGAAATGACCCTCTTTATTCCTTCTTTGCTCTGAAGTCTACTTGTCTGATATTAATATAGCCACTTCAGCTTTCTTTTGCTTAAAGTTGCATAGTATATCTTTTCTCATCCTTTATCCTTTACGCTTAATCTATTTTGTGTCTCTACATTTAAAATATGTTTTTTATAGGAAGTACTAGCTGAGTCATGCTTTTTTATCCAATCTGATAATCTCTGCATTTTAAATTAAGGTGTTTAGGGCCAGGCACAGTGGGAGCCCAAGGCGGGTGTATTACTTGAGGCTGGGAGTTTGAGACCAGCTTGGCCAACATGGAGAAACCCCATCTCTACTAAAAATACAAAAATCAGCCTGGCGTAGTGGTGCATGCCTGTAATCCCAGCTACTCGGGAGGCTGAGGCACAGAATTGCTTTAACCCTGGAGATGGAGGTTGCCGTGAGCCAAGCTTGCATCTGCAGTCCATCCTGGGTGACGGAGCGAGACTCTTTCTCAAAAACTAAAACTAAAACTAAATAAATAAATGTGTTTAAACTATTTACATTTAATATGATTATTGATAAAGTTAGGTTTAAATGTATCACGTCATTATTTGCTTTCTATTTGTTAAATCTACTCTGTTCTCTTTTCTTCCTTTTCTGCCTGCTTTTGGATTGAGTATTTTTGTGATTCTCTTTTATCTCTTTTGTTGGCATATTAGCTCTAACTTTCAATTATTATTTTAGTGGTTTAAGGTTTATAGTATACATCTCTAACTTATCACAGTCTGCCTTCAAGTGATACACCAATTAGCATGTAGTAAAGAACCTTACAGTGTACTTCACCTTCTCCCCTCTGGACTTTATGATATTGTTAACATACATTTACTTATTTATGTTATACACCACTACATTTTACTTATTTATGTGTTATATACCCCATAATAAATTGCTATTATTTTTGTTCAAATAGTCAAATATCTTTTGAAGAGGATATCATGTTTGGTGTCCTTTATTCCTTTGTGTGAATCTGTATTTCTGTCTGGACCAGTGTGACCATGGCTCAGTGCAGCCTCAACCTCCTGGGCTCAAGTAGTTCTCCCACTTCAGCCTCCCAAGTATCTGGGACTACAGGCATATGCCACCACACCTGGCTAATTTTTTATTTTTGTAGAAATGGGGATCTCACTATGTTGCCCAGGCTGGAGTGCAGTGGCATGATCTTGGCTCACTGCAACCTCTGCCTCCCAGGTTCAAATGATTCCTTTGCTTCAGCTTCCTGAGTAGCTGGCGCCCAACACCATTCCTGGCTAATTATTTTATCTTTAGTAGAGACAGGTTTTCACCACGTTGGCCAGGCTGGTCTTGAACTCTCAACCTCAAGTGATCCACCTGCCTCGGCCTTCCAAAGTGCTGAGATTACAGGCATGAGCAACCACCCCCAGCCGGAATCTTCCTGTTTTAGCCTCCCAAAGAGCTGGGGATTATAAGTGTGAGCCACCACATCTGGCTAAGGTTTCTTTCAATGCAGGTTGGCTGGTGATATCTTCTTCCCGCTTTTGTATATCTGAAAAAGTATTTTGCCTTTATTTTTGAAAGATACTTTTATAGTGTATAGGATTCTGAGTTGATGAGTTTTTCTTCTTCAGTACTTCAAAGATGTTGCTGCACTATATTCTTGCTTCTTTTGTTTCAAGTGAGAAATCTTATAACCTTGTCTATGTCCCCTCTTCAGAGAGTTAATTATGTGTAGAATATAGGATATTATTCTTAATAACAAGAGTATTATTGATAATACTTTATATTAGTTAACTCTACAGTATGTAAAACATTTCAGAATTCATTCTAACTTGATTTTCATAGCAGCTTGATTAGGCAGAATAAGATTTATCTTTTAAAATTAGTAAAAAAGGATTAGAAAGATTGTGACACACTTCACATCTTAAGACAGTAATGATAATGTATTGTTATGATTACAGACGTTTCTCTGGTTATCTATAGACTATATGTTTGTTTTTTTAGATGAAGATAAAATGTTACCTACAACATCCGGATGTACAATAGAGGATCACGTAATTGCAGGAAATGTAGAAGAATTTCGTAAAGATTTCATTTCTAGAATATGGCTGACCTACAGGGAAGAATTTCCTCAAATAGAAGGCTCAGCTTTGACAACAGACTGTGGTTGGGGCTGTACATTGAGAACTGGCCAGATGCTCTTGGCTCAGGGACTCATACTACACTTTCTTGGTAGAGGTAAATCAAATCTCTGTTTTTTTTTGTTTTTGTTAGCGACATTTTTCCATTTGAACTCCAGTTTACAAACTGCATGAAATGCCCTGAAGTTGATTTCTTGACTGTCAGGTTTTCTAAGGAGTTGTAACTAATTTAGTGTATTGTGTTTTTTTTTGAACTAGGTCAGATATGACTTGTATGTAAACTTTCCTGATTCCCTTTTCAAAAATGCAGGTTAAATATACCTGTTATTCTTGGTCACCATTATGAGTTAAGTTAGTTCAATTTTTAGTACACTTTGGATTTTATTGTTGTTACTATTTTTTTTCCTTTTGGTTGAACTCTGGATTATCTCCAGTTAGTTAAGTCCTGGGCTGGTCAATAACACTGACTCTGGGGAGATACATAATATTTTTTAAATCTTAAGAGACTTTACTCTTGTTTTTTATTTTCTCCCTACATGCTAATAATGGTTTAAAAGTATTTTTATTTTTGTTAGTGTGATTATAGTCAATTATATTAAATCAATCAGACATATTCCTTTAAATTTTTTTAATTTATAAATTATTTTATTTTTATTTTTTAGCAATAGGGTCTCTGTTGCCCAGGCTAGAGTACAGTGATGTAATTATAGGTCATTGCAACTTGGAATTCCTGGGCTCAAACTATCCTCCTGCCTCAGCTTCCTGAGTAGCTGGGACTACAGGTGCATGTCACCATGTTTGGCTAATTTTTAAATTTTTTTGTAGAGATGGGGTTTTACTATGTTGCCCAGGCTGGTCGTGAACTCCTAGGCTCAAGTGATGCTCCCACTTCGCCCTCCCAAAATGTTGGGATTACAGGTGTGAGCCACTGTGCCTGGCACTATACATATTTCTAATAAGGTCATCATACAATGTTTTAGACCCTAAAAAATGTCATTGATACTTAACTTACATATATATTTTTTTCCTAATGTGCCACCTTTCTGTTGGTCTATTTTTAATAATATGTACATTTGTAGGAATATTTTAGTTTATGATTTTAGGATTTTAGTTTATGATTTTAGGATATCAGATTTGATTATTATCAAATATTATCAGATTATAAATGTTAGACAGTATCCTTACCATACATGTCATTTATTTAGTAACTTTTCTGTAGAGATTATTGATGAGATTATTTAGAGAGAATGTTTATTGAAGAATGGTGTTGAAAATGCAAGGGAAAATAATTTTTAAACTGGTTTTCTGGGATGATTTATTTATAGTCTTGTGCAGTCATGGGCAAGGATTGGAATATTTTTCAGTCCTAACTAGATCTCTGAATCTGTGACTTATTTTGTTAACTTAAAATTACATGCATGTTTGGGGATTGTCTTGTTATTCAAAACTTTGACATAATGGATATATTTGATTTTTTGAGGTCTTTGATCTTTTATGATTTCATTTATTAACTGTTAGAGAATTGTTATTACTCTGTAAATAATGATTAAGTTATTCTGAAGAAATGTACAGGAAAATACTTTGAAAAAAATTTAAAATTTCTATGATCAGACTTCTATTTTAACATATAATCAAAACATCCAGTTTCTGAAGATATCTTTTTTTTTTTTTTTTTTTTTTAAGACAGAATCTTGCTCTGTTCCCCAGGCAGGAGTGCAGTGGCACAATCTCGGCTCACTGCAACCTCCACCTCCTAGGTTTAAGCCATTCTGTGCCTTAGCCTCCCAAGTCCTGGGATGACAGGCATGAACCACTCCCTGCCTGGTATCCTCTTTACTAGTATTATAATGTTTCTTGTACCTTTGGGTGGTCAAGACTAGATGTTTGATAAGCAGTTTGATAATGAAATACAAAAGTCTTTATTCTGTCTCAGCACTATCAAAGAACAGAAAAAAGAACACCTGGGATTGTCCATTTTTACCCAAGGTTACTATTTTTTCTTTCTTTTATCTTGTATTTTTGTAATTTTTTTTGATTATATGACTTTTTAGAAACTACAGAAAAGTACCATTTTATTGAGATATAGCCTATCATAAATTCGCTCCTTTCAAGTGAACAATTCAGTGGTTCTTAGCATAGTTACAGAGTTCCACAATCATCACCATAAATCTAATTTTAGAACACTTTCATCATTCCTCAAAGAAACCTTGTGCCCATTAACAGCTTCTCCCAATACCTCCCCATAAGCAACCATTAATCTACTTTCTGTTTTCATGTATTTGCTTATTTCTGAATTTACTGTCTTATTTTAGTAACCCATAGGACCATAAATGCTACATATTTATTTTAGTAAAATTGTTGAAGTAACTATTTAAAAGATCTGAACACTTTGCTTTGGAACTCCTATAGCTTGGACCTGGCCTGATGCTTTGAATATTGAAAATTCAGACTCTGAATCATGGACTTCCCACACTGTCAAAAAATTTACAGCATCATTTGAAGCATCGCTTTCAGGGGAAAGAGAACTCAAAACCCCAACAATTTCTCTGAAAGAAACAATTGGGAAATATTCTGATGATCATGAAATGCGAAATGAAATTTATCACAGGAAAATCATATCTTGGTTTGGTGATTCCCCCTTGGCTCTTTTTGGCTTACATCAACTAATAGAATATGGAAAGAAATCTGGGAAAAAAGCAGGAGATTGGTATGGACCAGCTGTGGTTGCTCACATTTTAAGGTAAATTGTTTTAAAATCTTTCTCCCTGTGAAAGAGGTCCTCAGGATCAAGAGATATTGATTTTTGCAATGTGTATATATAATTGGAACTTTAAAAGTCTTAACTGTATGAGAATGCTAAGATGTTTTCATTTGCCAATAGAGAAAAAAGAAGACATATTGTGACTCTAGTTACATTTAATTTATTTACTGACAAATTTTTCTTCTCTTTCTCTTAGGTATAGATATCCCAGGTCTCTTTCTAACCAGGTTTTCATTAGAACCCCTTATTGAAATGTTCTAAACACTAACATCTCTTTCAACCTTGGAACATTCATAACATTATAGTTTTTTTTAATAGTGTAACCTGTGGGCTGTAATGTACTGATAGTGTAATAAAATGTCAAGAGTTAAAATTGATGTTTTCAGCATTTGTTTGTACACATCAAAATCTCGTGAATTGTAAATGTATAGGACTATTACTATTATAATTATAGTAAAAGTAAAGGATCTGTGATATTCAGGATAGTTAGAAAAAAGTTAAAAGTCCAATTTTACTTCAGCTTTTTATGTGCCATTTATTTCAATACTAAGCGTTTTTTAAAAAATCTTATTTGTGTGTATATCCCATTTTTGTTATAAGCTAAATCATTAATATGTCATATAAGTATAGCATGTTGTGATAAATTTACTCCATTTAAAATCATATATAAATCTGAAATCATTACAAAGCATTTTTTGGATATTAACTTGCTTCTGTATTTTATAGGCCAGATGCTTACAGTTGAAAAGTATTTGCCTAATGTTATTAATTGGATTGTTAATTCTATATCAATTCCAACTTGGTATGACATTTATGAAAGCATAATCCTAAAAGCAGAGTTTCTTCCCTTCAAGGTGTTCTCTACTGTGGGAGACAGCAAACTTTGTCTATGAAGTGACAAATATTTTAGGCTTCACAGGTCTTATAAAGGTTTCTGCTGGCCATCTTTCTTCTCCCTCCAGTCTCTTAAAACTGCCAAAACAATTCTTAGCTTGCAGATGGTACAAAAACAGGCCACAGGTTGTATTTGGCTTGTGGGGTTAGTTTGCCAATCTTTCTTCTACGCTAACACATAGGAACATGAATAATAAGGCATTTTAAATGAAAGAATTACATATAAAGATATTGTTAAATAAAATTGTATTTCCACAATTTGCATAATCACCATTCACAGATATTGTTATTGTGATTTTTTTCACATCATGTACACCATTGAGAACATTATACTCAAGAATATATAGGCCGGGCGCAGTGGCTCACGCCTGTAGTCCAAGCACTTTGGGAGACTGA